AATTACTTTTAGAAAAAATAACTTGATGATGTTTTGCAAGTTCATAAAATTTATAATGGAAATCCTTATTGTTTACATTCATAAAAAGGGGAAGAAATATGTATTAAAGGGTTTTAAATGAGGGATATCCCAACCCATATAATGATATTCCTAAATGATGTCGGTGTTGTCGGTGGAATTAAAAGAGAATAGTAATTGGTTATAAGACTCAAGGAGATATAACCCATCATTCTCTTTAGCTTGCCCAATCATCTTCTCTATGATGAGATCCTAAAATTTAAAATAAGTAGTAAAAAGGTGACTTCGCAGTTTTGATATTTTATAATTTTATGCATTAATATAGGTCTAACTATAAGATGAGGAAGAAGAAATACGTTGCTAGGGTAAAGTTGGGGAAAATGGAGATATTTTTTTGTTTTGCATTAGCTGTTATGGAACGATGCCCTTTTTTTTTTATTGCGAGGGTGGGTTTTTAGCTTTGAAAGATGTTAACAATATTTGTAATTTGCCAATGACATATGGATAGAGAATGCAAGTTTGTGACGGTTTAGGTGAGGCACTAAATATATAGCAGTTGGATTCATACAATTTTGAGTTAGAGTGTGATCCAGTTTGCTTTTTCAAAAAATCGAGGAGATTCCTTAATTTATTAATTTCTTCTAAGTTGAGTCCATTTGTATCCATAAGGTTGACCTGTTATTTTTTGTTCCCTTCTTTGTTTCCATCATAGCCTCATGGCGTCTCATAAAATTTCTAGCATTTCTATTTGATATGTTCTTTCTTCGTGGAATATTTGAGGGGAGGCTTTTCTCATTTTTGGGAGAATGATCTGTAACAATAAATCACTTTCTTTGGGTCTAGTGGTTTTCATGGAAGCTGTTTTAGAGACTGGATTATTATTAAATATTATGGTTCTTCCTTTTTGAGCTTATGCAGGAGAGAAAATCTCATTTAGAGAAGGGAGGTTTTCTCCACTCAAGATTTGTATTCGAACCTGATCAAAGTTATTATAGGGTTGCAAGAAGCTCAAACACTTTCTCTTTCCAGAAATTACTTGAGGATTACTGCATCTTCACAACATGTCTGATAAGAATCAAATCAAATTTTCATTAAAAAATTAGAGCAAATAATTTATTTTTTTGCAAGAACATTAAACATTTAACACAAATATAATGATAAGCACCTACAATTCGAGAGAGGCGATCTCTCCCAATTCCTACAATTCTAGAGTTAAAAAATCTTTCCCAAACTCTAAACCTAAAACTTACAATAATAAACTCACATATAACTCTAATTCTAAACATATTAGCCATATTTGTACTAAATCATAACAAATGAAAAAATAATAAATTGCCCGTAGGCTAATAAATGACAAATTTGCCCTTAAGTATCAATCTAACATTACTCTCGTCACAAAATGACATTGTTTTCAAGTTGGAAAAAATGACGGTGTTCCTCCTCCTCCACCACAACTTTCTCTATTTCTTCATCCCCTGTCGCCTTGTCATAGATTGTGAGAATCTGTAATGTTCAATTTTTGCCATAATGTTTTGGGATAAACTTCTCATCACACCAAAAATATAACTTTTAGGCTCGCTTCTGTTGCATCTCCTTTTGTGAGGCATTTGAGTGTCGCCCTCGCTTGTACCCCATAATTCTTGTCTTGTGAAGCCTCCCTCTACACTTCCACTATTTGAGCTTTTGGTATTGTCCTGGTTGTTGCAGTTCGGTTTGGCTGCTTCTATGAACCCGTTCCATTGCATTGTGATCTTCAACCAATAACGCTAATTTCATAATTTCTCCTAAGGTCTCAACGGACGAGTGCTGCATCTATGTCGGGTTTTAAACCCTTCATGAAGTTCCCCTCCAATAGTTCTTAAAAAATATCTCTCAATCATCCTAAGAATAGTTTGAATCTCTCCCCGTGCTCCATAACGTTCCCTTCTTTGAGTCAATATAAAGAATTGCTCTGTAGGTTTACTTTTCTAATGACTTAGAAATGTTCCAACAAGCAATCCTTGAATCTATCTCTGATTATGATTGGTTGATGTTCTCTCCATTGGTACCACACCAAAGCATTCCCTTCCAAACATAGGGCCACCACCATAAATTTTTCTTCATTTGTCAACCCATTAACATCAAAGCATCGTCCCACACGATAGACCCGACCATAGCATCCTATTCTTCAAAGATTGGTATCTTCAACTTCCTTATGCGTGATTCTCATCCCTAATTTCGTTGACTGAAATTCATTTCACCAATAAATTGGGGTTGTGGTTCCTTTCCTCGTTCCCTATTGATTTCTCTTCGTCCATAAGTCTAGCTTGTTTAGCTCGTTCGTCCTAATAAGCTACATATATGCCATTTTCCCGGAAGGTTATTGCAACAAAGCTCACTCGTGAGGTTGGATGTATCCCTCTGCTGGGATCCCACACACCATGATTCTTTGTTCTGGCTCGAAATCCTTCAATTTGATCTCCTACCCCCAATCACCCACCGTCCCATTCTGCTTGATGCATCCGTTCCACCCATTCAGACGTGCCATTCCTTCCACTTGTCTATGCTCGAGTTCGCTTCACATTCCTTCACCACATCTCATAGCTCTAGATCCATTTGAAAAAGTGATGTTGCACTGATTTCACACAAATTTTTCTGATTGCTGTAGTTCTTCTATCCCGCTATAGCCAGCGGACGGTCTTTGTCAGACTCCATAATTTTTTTTTATCATTTCTTATAGGGTTGTGAAACTCTCCTCCAACCTCCCCTTCATGGCCAAGAAACACTCATTTATTCTATATCTGATTTGACTAACATCTTCCTCTAATTTTTTCTTCAAAGCTTCCACCTTTTTGGCCGCCATTACCCGTAAACGGGTTTGTAACTCCTTTATGCTGAGATCAAAAGATTCATAATTCTAAATGCGAGCTCAGCGTGTGTGGAAATGTGGATGCCGCGATTTCAAAATTCTTGTATGCTTTTTGGTGGAACTATTGGAAGTCATGCAGAACTCCGGATGCTGCAATCCAAATTCATGTACGATGCAGTTCCTGATCACAAATTTCTGTCACAAGCAATGCGAGATTCCTTTATGTTGTGATTCTGGTTGTCAATTGCAATTAGGAGTGGCGCAGAACTCCTGTACACCACGATCCTTCAAATTTTCTGCAGTCTGTACATGCGAACCCGTCTGTTTCTGATTTTGGATGCTGCGATCCATCGTTCCTTCCCAACTAGCTCCAATCACGATTGTATCACGATATTAGGTCATGCCGCGACCCCTCCACGCTTCCTCAAATTGCTTTTGTTTTGGGTTGTTCAATCATGATTGTTGGCGCTTGTAAGGCGTGATCTCGTCATCGCGCCCAACTAGCTTTTATCGCGACTGTATCGACGAAGACTTCTGTTTTATGTCACAATCCGACCGGTATTCCCAACACCTGTATGTTGCGATTCCTTCGTTGGCCTTCCCAATTTGCACGGGTCACGAGTGTTTCGCTAAGCTAGATCACAAAGGCAATGCAATGTAGATTTAGAATAAGATTGACACTATAAGACCAATTTAATAGGAATCAAATCAATTTTTCACACAAAAATTAGGGTAAATAATATATTTTATTGCAAGAACATCAAACATTTAACACGAATACAAAGATAAACATGTACAATTCAAGAGGTGAACGATCTTTGTTAATTTCTATAATTCGAGAGGTAGGAAATCTCTCCCAAATCCAAATCCTAAGACTCACAATAGTAATCTCACGCATAATTCTAACCCTAAACAAATTAGCCTTAACAAAAGGTTAAATTACTGCTTGGCTAATAAAAGATAAATTAGCTCTTAGATGTCGATCTAACAACAGCATCTTGAGATCTTGGAAAAAATTCAATTCAAGCTAGTTAACCTTTATGACATTAAAATATCAAACGACAGAAGCGTTGCATTTTTTGTTGATGGATAGTTTTGTTTTGACCTCATAGATGATTGACACATCTTTGACTTTTGAGTAAGTTTGTTTTAAAACATCCCAAACTTCTTTTGCAGTAGATAGCAACGTGTATAATTCGCTGATTTCCAACATCATGATATTCCACAATAATGTCATTATCATAGAATTCGTTTCTGCTCAAAGTATATACTTCGGGTCATTCGGTTCTGGAGGCAGATCCACAAGATGTTTGATCTTTTTCTTTAAAATTTTATTTGATTTGATTTCCAACATCATGATATTCCACAAAAATGACATGATCATAGAATTTGTTTCTGCTTAAAGTATATGCTTTGGGTCATTTGGCTCTGGAGGTAGATCCACAAGTTATTGAATCTTTATCTTTAATTTTTTTTTTCCGATTTGGGACTACTTCAAATAAATTTCCTATGCAAGCAGTATGTGGCTTGAAATCCCTAGAATTTTACTTTAGTATAATTTTCACTATTCATAATGACGACTCTTTAAAAGTGATGTTGAAAATACCAGACAAAATGAGTGAAAAGCTCATACTAGGAGTATAGAAAATAAAAGTTGGAAGCGGAAAAGTCAAATCTCGCTTTGATATCAAGTAAAAGATAAGTGGCTAGAAAAATTAACTTGTTCATTCTTTCAATTGGTATTTATATATAATACTACAAATAAAAATGAAAATAATTAAATACGTAAAAATAGCCTTTAGCTATCTATAGTTTGATTATTTAGAGATCTCTGATTGATGACAATGGATTAATCCATGGACTTGTTCTTTACTTTTTTTTTTCCTATATGAATCCGTGAGAGTGGTATTTTCTTACAAGTAATTAATCCGTGGCATTCAATTTTTTTTATCCAGACTTTTTTGAACCGTGGCACCTATTGTCCTCTTGGAGTGTTGATCCAGTTTGATTATTTTAACACAGTTAAATGCAAAAACTTTTTTAGTGATGGTTTAGTTACCGATATGTAACTAGTCCTTTCTAAATGTGTTTTCTTTTGTATATTTTTTTTAATATGTTGCTTTGTATTTTCCAGGGTACTATTTATTCCGTGTCTGTTGGAGAAATCAAGCTCAGCTTGCGCAGATCTCTCATGACACTGGGGTTCAGTTTCATTTCCAGGGACCCAAAGTTACAATTATTAATTTCTGATCTAGAAATTATTGTTAGGTCGTCTGCACCAAGTGCTAAAAGAAGTAAATCTCAGAGACCTCGTGGAACCGGCAGAGCTAAATGGATGGTTTTGACTAATATTGCAAGAATGTTATCAATAACCGTCAATGAGTTAGTTTTTAAGGTGACTTACTATTAGAGTGGCTCCTTGATATTAGTTTAGGTTTCTAAAATATCCACTGATTTCTATAGTTTTCTAGATATGATAATGAAATAAATAATTTCTTATCCATCTAAATTAAGTTGTATGCGGAATATGTTCATTTAAGAAAATTAATTGATTAATAGCAGCAATGACTTCGTAATCCTGTTTCAGCATCAGGTTATCAATCTGATTTGACCACTGCTGTTTAATGATATGATCGCTTTGGATCGAGATGTGTTTTAAACTTTGATTAACATCTCATTGCCACATTTTTCAGTATGACCAAACGGAGTATGATGCTTTGCTTTTGTCAACCTATTAGTTTCCTTGTTTAATTACCTTATATTGTTTTTGGGATTTGCTAAAGAAACAATTTTTTTTCAGCTTGACAGCGCTATGAGATCAATTTGATGCAGCCCTAGTTTACTAAATTCATTAAAACAACTTGTAACACCAATGGTTTTTTTTGAGCTCTTGAATTCTTTTACTGCTACATTTAGAGCCAGGATGTTCTAATTTTTTCTGTCAAACTCCCTGCTCCAAAATGATTTTATGCCATGCTTTTCTTTGACAAGTATGAAATTGCTTGTTTACTTGTGTTTATTGACTGGGGTTTTGAAGGATCTATCAATATCTTAGGTTTGAAAAGTTTGTGCATCTTAGTTCACTGATGGTATTCCTTTCTTTTTGCCGGTTTCTAGGAGACACTGGAAACACAATCAAGTCAGATATTTTGTTTGTGCAGCTATCCATTTTTCTGACCATATTTTGATAAAAAATGACCAGGTTGATAAACTTTATCCAATGCGATGTTGGTGAATTAAAACTATCTTGAATGTTTTAGCAAGATTAACATATCATTCATCTTAGTTCTTTATTATTGTTTCGACTAAATTGGAAATGTAATTGATTGTGTATGTTTGAGTTGAAATGGATTAGGCAACTAGTCATAAAATAGGGATAACTAAGTTGATGAGGTTGAGTAGAACTGACAGTGACCAAATTAAACTACCCCTAAATTATGATATCCTTGAATGTATTTCTAGATGGATAACTTGTACGTATTTTGATTTTTGATAAGATGAAGTTAAACATTTTAGACATGTAAATGTGGAATTAATATTTTATTCTAAATTGTTGTTGGTGATCATGGCACAGACTAGATATTCTTGCTAACTGCACTGTATTATCATTCTGTATTATTATCAGTTTTAAAATAAATTTATGACACTTATTTTTAACGATGTTAACTATGCAACTTAGATTATTCATTATAATTATTTCATGTAATAATGTTTATCATGATGGTCACACAAAGTTTGCTCATCTTGAGTTCACTAAATTGACCTTTATAAATCTAGAGTAGAAGAATTTGCAATTTTTTAAAATTTTTTCATTATTGCTTCATATTGTCAAGTTATTGATGTAAGCCTTTTGAATTTGGTCTCAAGTATGGTCAATTTGGGCATTTCATCTCATTCATTTTACTGTTGGTTGTTTTTACCTCGTACCATTAAGTATTTGCAGCTACAAATTTTTACAGATCTGCGATGATAGTTAAAACTTACTATCCCGGTGTGGTCATTGGTAATGTGAAGCTCGGACAGATAGGATAAGGAGGCTTCTACCAACTTGAGGGATAGATGATGGGGCTTAAGTGACTTGTTTATTTTATATATAATTGAAATTCATACTCTAATATTTAATGATAACATGCTGTTAGATCCCTTCAAATCATCATATAATTACAAATTTTAAATTGCATGGCAAACTCACACCATAATTACTTTCAAAATATTTTTATGAAAGCAAATTCCAGATGCAATCAATGTCTGCATTGTGGATGCAATTAAATACCCACTATATAGGGTCCTAATGCTGTACAAGGCTGGCTGATCATAAGAATTATTCTTTTAATAAATAGTTTAATCAACTTTTATGTTTCTTATTCTTTAATTTTTCATAGTTTTTTTATTTTTACTTTTTGCCGACGAGTTTTGAATATTAGGACTAATTTTATATAGACATATTTGATTAATTGAACGAATAATAGTATTTTTCATGTTTCTATTTGGGGTTCCACAGAATCCTTGCTTTGCATCAAGTAGTATTAAAGGACTCCTGTGATGAAAGATTGTGAAGGATGATTGATGAGATTGACATGGAATGGGAAATGGTCCAAAGGTGGCATGAAATGACTCGAGTTAGTCTAGTTTTGATTGAAAGACCTTGAAACGCCATTTAGAGCCTTATATTGACTATTATGCTACGATGGGTGTTGACGTACAGTTCAAAGCCTTTTGTGATCCTTGTTAGACCATAACATCACCTAGCCTAAATGAGGGACACTGGTATCAACGTCCTTATTTTGATAAGAGACGTCAATGAACTTGGAGATGTTCTATGTAGCGACGTCCAAAGAGGTGATGAAACCTATGAAAATTGAAGGCATGTACAAATGAATGATATGGTCTTGTGGAGTTGACCTTGTGACTTGGTAGGACGACAAATGAATCCATCAATCTACAAGCTTCTTGTAAGTTGCTTGATTAAAGCTCATTCATGGTCATTTGATTAACTAATTAATAAGTTTAAATACTTTTATAAATACTTAGTTGTTGCACGAACAAGCTTGAGCAATTTGTTCGTTGATTCATTTTTGATCTTGAACAACATTCTATAGACTCAAAGAACAAATTCTTTAAGAAGTTCAATTAAATCTTGATATAAACATTCATTAAAGCTTGATACTCGAAGAAGGCATCATAGGCAATGTGTGAACAAGCTTACCTCGATATCACAAGGCTTATTTATTAAGTTTGTTTAATTAAAATCTTATTTGCTTAGTTCAACAAACGTGTTTAAATAAAGCTTAATAAGGCTTATTTATTTTTTCAATTGAGTTCTCGTTTTAGACTTACTAATCACAATATGAACTAGTTAGATGTGTGCTCAAACTAAGCTTAAATAAGCTTTTCATAAATGAGCTTGAGCATGAACACTATCATAAAAATTTGAATTAAGCTTGACTGAGCTTGAACAAGCTTTTGGTAAACGAGCTCAAGCTCAAACATCCTTCTGATTGCTACCTTAGGACTTGGACAGTGATGGATGACGATCACATCACCATAAATCTAGAGGTGATGATACATAGTGACGAATCTTGGTAAAGATGAACTACACCAATGTCCGATTGACATTGTGGGATGGCTAAAACCATGAATTGAACCAACTATTGCACAAGTGTGGTACTTATGGCATATTTGGGCATTTATCTGATGGTGAAGTTGATGAAGCATCTACAGCAGTGAAATGGAAGAAAAATAAAAGATCATGATGATTTCCTTCCTCGCCTGATGTTCAACATCACCAATAACGACTCAGTGTGTTTTCACCAATCTTTAAAATGACAATTGTTTAATCCTACAACAAAGAGTCACTGGAATATATGTTGTTGATGATGCAAGAACAACAATGATGAGAATGCCAGGCGATAATGAATTTACTTCTGAAAGTGTCATTAGGGAGTTTAGGTTTGTTGATTTTGATTGTTTTATCATAGATGAATGGCCAGTTATTAATATATATTCTGCCATTTGCCAGAAAGGCAAAGGAAATGGACTATCATGACTTAAGGGCAGCGTTAAGCCTAATAGAAGTGGTAAAAAAAGTGATGTGCGTATTTGTACTTTATGGATTCATATATATTCTTTGATATCTAGGACCCTTGATATTTTACAAGTAGCAGCTGCTACATTAATCAAGGAAGCTATAGGCTATAATAATCAAGGATGCTATTGGCTATAGTAATCGAGGAAGCTGTGGCAGAGGAGACATGGATACTCAGGAGCTCAAGTGACTTGATAAGGAGCCCAAACATCAAACTTAGAAACACAAGATGGATCATTCGATGATGGATAAAAGAGGCTTGTATGATTTACAGGTTTACAAACAAAATTTTTAACATATTGATATTTCAATTAAGTTGGAAAAGCACTATTTTTACGGTGATTTGGTCATGGGGCATCTTCTAATGAATCGTTATTATGTGTCCACATAAAACATGCTTAAACCTAGAAGATTGGCAACAATGCTAACAAGATTGTTCTTCCTGCTAAAATGAATGTTTATAATGCTTACAGTTTTGCCAAGTTCTTCATGTATTTTCCTCCAAACGAATTATCATTTTAGGCAGAAAACTGGAGTTTTCATTAAATGGGGGGGATTGATGCAGTACATGACTGTCCCTATATAAGTTTTTTATTAATTGTTAGGTTTTTTTTTTCTTTTATTTTTCTCCAAAAATTTTTTTTTTGCCTTTAGTTGGCAGGGGGTTTTCTATAAATTAAATGAATTATTGTATTTAGACCATTTTTTACCAATTGAAAGAACAATTGTGTTTTTTTCTTTTATTCGGAGTCCTCACGTCACTCTGCATTTAGTCAAACCTTGTGATGTTTGTCATTTCACTCATTTCCCAAGCCGAGTAGACATTATCTATTCTACTTTGTACTTCAAGCCCATTTGCATGAGGTACTTGCCTTTTCAGATCTGTAAGAAAACGATAAAAAATGTTCTTGGTCTGTTATGCCTGTGAATTCTGGGTTTGTTTTTTGATTATCCATTTAAAGAGGAGAAAATAAGGTGAAAGATCATGGTGGGTAAAAATTTAAGGAAAATACTAATTTTTAATAGCTATATCAATGAAGTAATGGCCATTTTAAAATGATAATGATATAGATAATTGCAAGCGTTAGAAGTTATAAAAGATAGGGGCTCTCACTATAGTTGTTAGGAAAATTTATACCGTTTTAAGAAGTACATTGTTGAGCAATGCCTTCAGAAATAGTCAGTATACCAGAAATTACCAAGCTGTTTGTGCAATATTTGTTCAAACAGAATTTCATGTTTCCATTTTAACTAGTTCTATGAAATTTTGTTGACTTATATGTGGGATTTAAGGAATGAGCAAGGGGTTTAAGGTGGTAGCGTTTTATTGTAGCAACCTGGTGGTGTAACCTGAACCTCTAATGGTTTACTCCTATTCACATTGATAGTGAAAGAGTTGATTTGTACATAGTAAACGATGTTAGCTGACAAATTCACGTCAACTTTTCTCTGCGGAACTGGAAATCCTAATATTTAGTACGATAATAAGAGTTCATGTCAATGTGATCAGGTTGCATGCATCAGTTTAAAGGTTCTATCGTTTACTATTTTGAAGTTAATATCTTTATATATTGATACATTTTTTTAAATTTTTTTCATCTTAATCTATTTATTTAATTTTGGTAAATTTTTTATGACTTCATTTAAACTTTTCTTGTTTAGCATTTTATCTTCTGCCTTACTTATGCTATTCTAATATATTTCAGAGGCCACATGTTATGTACATCATTCTTCAGATATATATATTTTTTGTCTTTTTATGTTTGCTTATTGAAAATCCGCATAATATAAAAATACCGAAGCTTTTCTCAGCCTTATTTGATTTAATGAAAAAAATATGTTTTGTAGATAGTTGTTTATTAGCTTCTCACTATGACTTCAAGTGATTTTAGGTTCCTAAAGCTGCTTTTGAAGTCAAAGATCTTAGGCTGGAGATGTCAACAAGTTCTGGTTCAACTCCTTTGCTCAGTATCAAGCTTTACCTTATCCCTTTGCATGTCCAAATATGGGATTCAAAGACCAGTTTTGATCAGTGGGAATGCTCAGCTAGTGCTGAAAATAGTTGTGCTCCTTTCATTTGTGAAGATATGTCTGTTTCTTCCGAGTTGTGTCATGATAAGTGAGTTTATCTTCTTCATACTCTATGAATCTTAAATTGCTTCGGTATTCATTGCAGGAAATGTTTTTTTGTCGCTTGGTTGTTAATCAAGCTTTTTGTACTGCTACATGAAGATGCTGAAATATTTTATTTTATGAGTGCTTACCTCAAATAGCTTTGAATAGTCATCATCACTCGGATCAATATATCATTGGCAGACTACTTGTGATTTTATAAAATTGACCTTAATCTTTATGATGTTTATGTATATACTATGTTTATAGTGCAGATAATTTTAATAATGCGATTGTGGAAGGTTAGAATTATCACATATATATTCATTCTTGCTGAGTGCTTAAGTTGTTTTTAACTCCATTTTATGCTTATTTTTATCCCTCGTAATGAATATGCTGAAATTTACTTCATTGGATAATTTAGTGAACTTACTTTGATACCTTGGCTGAAAACTGTTACCAGAATAATGACAACTTCCAGACGTGGTTTTCTCTGCTGGTAGTTTCATATGATATTAGATGCCAAACGTTTTGTTTTGCTTGAAAAACATGTAGTGATTCTTTGTTTTGCGGTAACTCCGTTTTCCACTTATGGAGCTATAGCCTTTTTCTGATTTCAGGGAACAGGGAATCCAAATCAAGAATTTGGATATGAGATGTGGGGATACCACCATAAAATTATGTGAAAGTCTGTTCGTAAAGACTAAACTGAGATCCGATGCCTTTGCTGAGACTGGTTCAAGTAGAAGTTCTGGAAATGATCTTGAGTCAGCTAAACTATCCCAAAACAATAACTTGTCTTCTATGTTGAAGAAGCAGATAATTTTATTCCCGGACAAGGTCTGCAAGTTGTTATTATTTTTATTTCCAATTCCTTTTTACTAGCAAATTCTACTTGATTTAAAAGATAATTTTAAATTTACCTTAGAATTTTAATTTGGATAGTTTTGAAGCTATGAGTATTAAATTAGCTTGAATTCCATTACACTTGATTTTATTTTTCTGAAGATGTTAGTCATCTCCATGAGACGCTTGGCTCAGTGGAATGCAGTTATTTATTTGATGATATATCTGATAGCTTCTTTGATTGGTTGCATATGGAATATTTTTTTATGGCTCTGCAGATTTTTTTAAAATTATACCAAGGGGTCTCTTTGGGGCAGCAACAGCTTATTAATAAGTTGCCGCTCGACAGCTGTAGCAGGAAGTTGCTGCGGATCAACTGACTGTCTGTTTGTTTTTTGCAGTTTCAAAATAACTGTGCTGCAGCTGTTTCTGGACAAATGATTATTCTGCCTTTGCACTGTAATGCTGTTTACAACCAAACTGTCAATACTAGTACATTCCGTACTTAAACAAATATCTAGTGTAGAACATTACAAAATAAAAATCGCATGACTACCAAAATTACAAAATAACTATTAAAATAACAATTAATAATATTATAATATTATTTTTAAAATGCAGATGATGTCTGTTATGAGATAAACCATCCTTTAGAGAAACTCTCTACCCAGGAGAATCTGTAAAACTGTCTCATGTAGCAATGTGGCTGCCGCGAAGTAAGTAGAGAACATTATAGACCGCAATAGCAGTGCAATGTTTTGGAGGTACCAGAAATCCTTGAACTTATCTTTTCTGAAGTCTTAGAAGCACACACCCTTAGATATAACACTAATAAAAATTAATATAAGTAATTAATTGAACTTTTATGCCCTTGTGAGGTTTTAGAGAACACAATATATAAACCACAAAATCTGTCACCATAAGAAGACAACAGACCTCATAAAATGAGGGTCTTGCTTGCCTTTAACCCACGTAATACCAAATTAGTCTGTGTCACTTATGCATATCACAAAAAAAAGAAAAACCATTCTGAAGAACTTAAAAAACCATAACATTGAAAAAGGAGGGGAACTTGGTTGCCTTTATTAAGATTTCATATGTGACGCCAACCAATAACGACATACAGACCATCTAGAAGAACCTATAAGGTTGGAAGTTTCATCATTGACCTCCAAAACCCAAAAGAAAAAAATAAATGCAATATTTAGGATACATATATTACCTACGGTTGGCTCATCAACCATCAAAGTGAGAAAATATACACACATAAGAAAAATAAGTATACATTACTTGCATTAAAAACTGATATTGTAAATATCAAATACATAAGAGACAGAACTATATATGACTTGTATAAAATATTGATACAATAAACAATAAATATTTTCAACACATATTACAAAAAAAATAAATAAAAACTAAACGTTCTCTTCAATCACCCTCCAATTATAGGATCCATAATTCGTTTCCTTAACTCTGTCATCTCACTTGCACCTTTCCCATCTTGAGTGCATGTCTCGGGCACATCAATTTCGGCCTGTGACAAAGATTGTCTAAGCCGATATTCATATGCCTCAGCAGGGACCTGTGAATGATCTTCATCCGTTTTATAGAAACCAATATCGTTGTGGGAATGATACTGCCGAATATAGTTGTAAAGAGCAATCGTGGCGATCACAATCTACACTTATTTGGGAAACAAATATGTTAACATATGACAAAGTATGACCCATTTCTTCTTTCAAAATTCAAACGCCCTTTCAATGACACCGCGTAAGGAGTGTTTCTTATTGAACATTTATTTTTTGTCCCGCGTGACATTGCTTGCTCTCTCAAAGTCAGGTATGTGATCTCTCGTATCAGGACAGAGCTTCAGATACCCTCGTTTTAACAAATATCTAATATCGACCAAATAATATTTACCTGATATGAATACAATGGTTAGTGTTGAAGCAAAAAGAAATGATGTGACTAATTCAGTCTCAAGCAAACTTGTGGGTGGATAAAGGAAGTTGTATTTCTTATTCCGTGTTGTAAATTTGAAAATACGACGGTCATGTGCATTACCCTTTCAACCGACCATGACAAAGTGAAGTACATGTTGAAGTCGACCTCCTTTAGACAAAGGACACAATAATTTTTTTGTATTTTTATCCCATATTGTAGATGAGTTGGCCTCTTTTATCTTAACTATTGTAGTATTAGCATGAAAAAAATTAATCAACATAAATTTTTGCTCCAAGAAAAATATGAATGCCACAATATCATCACTAATGTCGCTCCACACCACACCACAACACCATTTGCACATCACCATTACCACCACCTCTCACACCAACACCTCCACACATCAACACATTTACCACACCACGACCACCACCTCCACACACCAACACATCCACAACATCACCACCTCCTCACACCAACCACCGTACACCACCTCCACACACCAATCACCCTACATCACCTCCACACACCAACCACCCTACATCACCTCCACACACCAGCCACCCTACACCACCACCTCCACACACCAACACATCCACCAACACAAACACAACCACCAACTCCACACACCAACCACCTTACAACACCACCTCCACCTCCACACACCAACACATCCACAACACCACCAACACAAATGCATCCACACACCAACAACTCCACACACAACATCACTACGACCACCTCCACAAACAAACAACGCAACACACCAACACATCAACAACATCACTGCCATCAACTCCACACACCAACATATGACTCCTATACGTTTCACGTAATCATTTTTTTTCCAAGTCACTGCACGTGCAATAAACATCACCATATATATTCAACTCACAACAAGAACATAATAGAGCAAACAGAAAATCATAATCTAACATCAACCAGAAAACACCCCTTGCTTCCAAGTCATTTCACTTGCAAACACCACCACATATTTTCGACCAACATCAAGAACATAAAAGAGCAAACAGAAAACCGAATTCTAACATCAACCGAAAACAATCATCTATTTCTAAGTCATTGCACGTGGAATTCCAAAAAATCCCAAAATCCAAAATCAACCAAAAACCATCGAAGGATACGAGCATAGAGAACTCACGAATGTCTCAACCGCATAAGCATTTGCAAAATAAAAACCATAATATTCATGCTAAGATAGAGAGTACCGAAACAGAAGCGGAGCAAATGATAAAAAACATAGCCGAAGAGCAGAGAGAGGAGAGTTAGAGGAGAGAACATTGCAACAATTAATCCAGAGATGTGAGAGAGAATTAGGCAACATCTTTTTTGTATGAATCGCAAGTGAAAAGGGAGTTAAGGCAAGAATCGCGAAAGAAGCAACCTTGTGAGGATCGTGAGAGATAGAGATGTTAGGGCAAGACTTGTGAGAGAGAAAGAGACAATGAGATAACACGAAGGTAGCTCCACCACAACATAATGAAGGAACGCGGGTCGCGAGGTCGAACCTGTTGCCGCTTTTCCTCCCAACTAATCTCGAGAAGCAGCCACTCTGTACTTTCCAAACGACAGACCTAGCGTTCAGAAGCCGCATCGCGACAAGTAATCCACTCGAAATAGGCACTAAATGATTGCACACTGTAGACCCATCCTTGGAAGTGGCTGTGGTCACTAGATGTCTCGAATGCTCTTCCATATCATTAGATTTAATGATATAGGAAAAACAATATCCCAAAGAACATTAGAACATAAGAAAACTCTTGAAGAGGACTTGGAGGAGAGAAACCACTTGTACGTATATGTCTCCGTCGGCTTTGCTTCGCAGAACTTCAGTTGCTAGATGTTTCCATGTGCAAGCTTTTTGGGCCTTGTAAATTATATATACATCATATAATCATACAATATAGTTTATTTAAAAAGCTTGAGTAAAATGATAGATTTTCTGGACAATGGATGTTGGGCTCTTCGGGCATTTGATACCAGGTGCCCACTTTTCAAATTCTTATGCTATATGACTAGCTCATGATGTGGCTGCAGATGCCATGACTGAGATAGTGGAGACTATGCATGAGAAAGCGAAGAAATATTGAAAGGCTTTGTGCAAGGCACTTTAAATGAACTGAAATGGATGTAGTTTTATTTTTTGAAGCTCTTAAGGTCGTTGATTCTTAGTTTTTGGAAAATACATATTTTTAGTAGTCTAGCAAATGCTTATCATGCTCCTGTTGACATAAATTTTGATAGTATTTGATAACTTTGCTAGTGTGCCTAGTCTTTTTACCGCAACATGTTATGGTCCCTATTGCCTTCTTCAATGATTGGAATGATTCCAGGTGAATGCACTTGTCCTGCGATAAGGACTTTTATGCTATTATGAGAGCTTTTAGTCATTTGAGTTATTACCTGCTGCAGAATGAGTTTACTCTTTACACTGACTATGAGACATTGAGATTCTTGAGCAGTCAGAGTAGGCTGAAGGGTTTGCAGATCTCTTAAGTGGAGTTCCTTTATTTTATTTTGTTTAAGCAAAATGATGGCAGACAAAATAAGGCAACTGACCCATTGAGCCATCATCACATACTAATCACTACTATTCTCTGCGCTCTTAGTCATTGAAGTTATTATCTAGCTGGAGAATGAGTTTACTCTTTACATTGACTATGAGACATTGAGATTCTTGAACAGTTAGAGCAAGCTGAAGGGTATGCATATCTCCTAAGTGTTCCTTTGTTTTATTTTGCGTTCGAGCAAAAGCAGAAAATCAGAATAGGCAGTTGACATATTGAGCCATCATCACGTTCTGATCACTACCATTCAATCGAAGGTAGTTGGCTTCAAAGTGTTAAAGGATTTATATGCAACTAATGAAGACTTTCAAAAGATTTTGATTTTTTAGGACAAACTTAATGAACAATATCACAGGTCAGATGATTATCTATTCTTCCAGAATAAGTTGTGCAGTTCGAGAAGTTCATTGAGGGAGTTTTTTTATAGGAGTGTCACAATGGATGAATGATAAGATATTTTGGTAGAGGCAAGGCTCTTTCATTGGTGAAAGAAAATTTTTATTGGCCTTGATTGGTAGAGGATGCAGATAATCATGTCAAGCATTGCGGGGTATGCCATCTAGCTATGCCTTAGGGGCAAAATAGCCGTGCGTGTTCCAGAGATGCCTTATGTGGATTTGAGCATGGACTTCGATATGTGTCCCCCACGACAACAACAGAGCAATGATTCAGTTATGATGGTTGTGAATCGCTTCTTCAAGATAACACTTTTTGTACCTTATCACAAGACAATACTTCACATATTGCAGATTTATATTTTGGAGAGAGAATTCATCATTGTGGAGTACCTCAGACTATCACTTTAGACGAAGATGTGAAATTTCTGAGTTAATTAGAAGTTCTAGTTCAGTTTAGCAACACATCCACAGATAAATGGACAAAAAAGTGATGAATTGTAATTTTAAAAATATTCTCAATTGTTTTTTGAGAAATTATATTAGATAGTGAGATTTAGTTCTTAGATTCAGTTCTTACAACAAATCGACTTGTCGGTCCTTATGTCACAGACCTTTTGAGATTATATCTAAGTGAAACCTCTCACATTTTCTTCATTAACTTGTTAAAATTATTGCCTATTCTTCATACTATTGAACTTAGTACTAATGTAGAGGCCAAACCAAGAGAGGTTCGAACTTTATTTGAACATGTTTGAAGGAAGTTGTTGAGCAGAATACCTAGTTTCAGAGGCAAACAAATAAATTCAGGAAAGTTATGATCCCTAAAGAAGGTGATATTATGTGGGTTAGATTGTAGAAAAGCTTTTCTGTTGTTTTTTTTTTCAAAGCTTAGGACTAGAGTTGACTGTCCATTTAGGGCTGTTAAGAATACAATGCATACAAGATTGATATGCCGTGAGACTACAATATTTTTGCTATCTTTAATATCACCGACTTGTCACTATATTACAAGGATCAATATATTTTTATAGAAGACAGTTTGTTTTATTTGGGGAGAGTAACGTGAGAGCATCTCTATGCGGGAGGGATGGGCTTTCTTGTCCCGTGAGATGGTTAGGGGGAAAATTCTCTCAAATTGATTATTACGAGCTTTGTTGGGCTTATACTTACCTTACTTTGAGTTATAATTAGGGTTTTATTTCTTTGCTATTATAGATATGTGACTTAGAATATGGTTATGAATTTCTTGGTTTTATCATATTAGAGATTTGTTTCTTTGGATTTCTAATATTTGAAGACCTGTGGCCTATTCTTATTTAATTGTCGAGTTTGTATCTTGAAGAGAATTGGTAGTGAAACCATCTGACTTTCGTACATTGCTGCCCTAGTCGTTGACTGCACCCCTTGCTATTTTTTCTCCACGATAGCAGTTGTCATTAGTTTTCCCGCTACAATTCTTGTCGATCTCTTAGATTTCTTTCGTCGCTATCCTATAAACATCCCTACTGCTAGAATCGATCCCCATACACCTATTAGAAACTTTAGAACGACGTCATTTCGTATTAGGCTAAATCCTAATTTTAAATACTAACACTAACCCTAAATTTCAAAATCTAATATTTTTACCTTCGCCAAAATCCGTCTCTACAACTATCATCTAAACCTAAACCCTTGGCCAACCTTAGATCCATTATCTTCCCCTGGCCAAAATCCAAAAGTGAGAATTCAACATGCATCGAAGGATAAAACCCTTTGAGAGGTGTTTAAGAATGTAGAATGAATGATCTGCAGTGAAAATTCCTTGAATTACAATATAGGCTTGTTAATTTAAAAAAAAAAAAAACCAACACGAAAATGTCATTCATATTTACAACGGTGACCACTTAGGATGGATATTATGATTAAAACTTTTTTCACTGAGAAGTCTCAAGAAGCGAAGAGCCGATGACACATTGGTTTGAGTTTGAGTATAAGAGAGAGTGATTTTGAAGTGAATGCTGATCTATTAGATTTTAATGATTTTATGGATATAAACAAATTCACCGAGTGGGCCTTCATATAGTGTTTCATGTCTTTGAATGCAATTACATTTCTCCTGATAGAAATGTGAAGTTAGCTGCTATCAAGTTTTAGAAGGGCGCTTCTCTATGGTAGGAGAACCTGATGAGCTTGCATCAATGTGAGGAATAAAACTAGATCACAACCTTGTTCAAGATGAAAATAGACATGCAGCACAAGCATTTCTAGCACATTTCAAACAAAATATGCTGATGAGCCTTCACTACTTATAGTTGTACCTATTAGTAGAAGAGAACACCGTTGAGTATGAATAACTTATGATGAAGTGTGAGTTGGTGGAGTCAGAGGAGAACACTATAGACTGATGTCTTGAAGGATTGAGACTATTCATTGGTAATGTGGTTCACTTACAACTCTATTGATCTTAACAAGATGTCCAAACCCTAGTCTCGAAGATGATGGAGGAGCATAGTAGCATCATATTCGCTCCATATTTTAAATTGATTTTGAAATAGAGTCGGGCAACAAAAGCACACCGTCCAAAGTGCTTAGACTTGTGCTCCATGAGGAGAAGCCAACACGAGGAAAAAAATAATGTTCAGACCATCACCCTTAAGGCATTTTCATTGAGGATGTATTTAATTGTCATGAATATGGATATCCAATTGCCTAAGAATGAGAGTGATTTTTTCTACAGAGCAGGGTGCAGTGGAAGAATTAAATAATTGACACTCTTGAGATGAGAATGGGGAGGAATATCCGCTATCCTTAGATGGGAGTGAGATGCTTGTGGTTTGACAACTTCTTTATATTGAACCTAAGTGGGAGAATAGAGACTCAGGCATAGTATCTTACGTTCTTGTTACATGGTGTAGAAAATGTGTGCAACCTTAGTATAAATACAGACAGTTATGGGAATTTGGTGTCTACATAGACGATAAACAAATTGAGCGTCATTAACCAAAAGTATTTCCAACTATATTCCTTGACTTGGTTGAAGAAGGGGAATGCGATCAGTGTTCACAAGAGGTGTCTGATAGAGCTTTCCATTAGAGACGAGATACATGATCATGTATGATGTGATATCGTGCCGATGGTTGCATGCCACATTCAACTGGGTCGATTGTGGTAGCATAATATGGGTACATTTCAAGATGATCATAAAAATACCTACTAATTTATTAAGGATTGGAAAGTTATTGCTCTTTTTTCGTTGAAGTAGTTATCGATTATGAGTAATTGAACAGAGATGAAACTGTATAATGCCTCATGTGACATTTCTATAGGCTATGATAGAGGTGCCAGTGGGATTGAGCTTGGAAGGCATTGAGACAGAGGAGCAGATACTTGAATTAATGCTGCCCTTAGAGGAGGAGTTTCAGGATATTTTTTCTGATAGCTTATCATATGGATTGGCACCCTTGTGTGAGATTTAACATGCTATTGATTTGATTCCAGGATGAATGCTCTCCAACTGTTTAGTTTATCAGACTCGACTAACAGAGTATGCAGAGCAATCAAAATAGGTTGAGAATTTGATAGTTTGGGATTAGTTGTGAGAGTACCAATCCATATGCTATATCATCATTTACTTTTTCCAAAAAAGATGGATCGTGATGTATGCACATTAATTGTAGGGTAGCAAGATAACTATTAAGTGCCGGTTTCTGATTTTGAGATTGAATGATTTGTTGGATCAATATATTGAGCTATTATATTTTCATAGATAGATCTGTGCAGTGAACGCCCTCAGATTTAGATGAGTCCTCAGGATGAGTGGAAGTCTTCCTTCTAGACATGGGATGTATTTTATGAGTGGAAAGTCATGCATTTTGGCTTGTCCAATGCCCGAAGCACTTTCATGAGACCGATAAACCATGTTTTTCGAGCCTTCACTAGAAAATTTGTGGTTGTGCGTTTTGGTGATATTTTATTTTACAGTCGCACAGAGAAGGATTATTTCTTACACCCACACGTCTTTAGAGCTTTGTGGACAAAGTAGTTTTATGGCTTTTTTTGTTTAGTATCATTATGACCTTTGTTTTGTTCAGTATGTATGTATTTTTAACTTTCTGAAATGATAAATTTTTATAAAGAATTTTGCAGAGTATATTGCCAAGTTTCTATTCGGTATTTTAAATAAATTTGGGCTTCTTTGTAGTATCTATGTGTGCATCACGTTGTGGTATTTATTAGTGATACACATTTGAATGATAAAAAGAGCTGTGTGTGGCAACACTTCTACCTTCCCTCTTTTTTTTCCTGGGGCTCGTCTCTTTTCTGCTGATATTTACTTATTAGCACTTTGCTGTTTCCATCTCTACACCATAGAGATATTGATTGAAAAAATCTATTCTAAGATACACTTCTCTCGCTCTTAATTCTTATGTTTTCTATTGCATATATCATATTTAGTTACTTTAGTTTTGTTGTCTGGTTTTCATTATGCTGCAAGCCTTTGTTTCGAAGTTCTTATTTAAGTTTACAAAGATGTTCAGAGGTTTCTTATTGTTCAATACTTTCCGTTTAAGTCCATTTATAGTAATTATTAGACCCTTGGGAATGAGGCTCTCATGGACAGTTTGCTTGCTAATTTTATTGCTAATTGCTTATAAAGGGTGTTATCTTTGGAAGGTTAATTTCAGGTTGCCAAAGCTTAACTTGAGATTCGTGCATCTGAGTCAAGGACTTCTTTCTGAGAGTAATGTTATGGGCATCCATCTTAGAAGTAACAAGTCTCAGGTGTTGGAGGATTCTGGGGATATGACATCTCACCTTGATATTCAAACTGATATGACTGAAATTCATGTATGTTTCTTTCTAAATATTCGTTGACTTTCATTGCTCTTCAATCTGGTCTTTAATGATGTTTATGTTGTCATTCCAGGTCCTCAAAGAAGTTGATAGTTCTATCTTGGAGATTCTTAAAGTTGTTCTTACAGCTTCGGTTGATGTTCCAATGCAGGTATGCTCTTTGATCACTAATAAGATACTGAAACAGGCCATCATATGTATATGCTTTGGGTCCCTACTTTCAGAATGCTTGCGGATGAAACTGTGCTTATTTGGGTATCAAGTTCTGTCGTATACTTTATGTTATTTTGCTTGCATGATTTTGTTATATGTGCAGCTTGCCTCCATTTTACCTCCTAACAATCCAATCTGGGCTATCTATTTTGTCACGACATATGGATGCTAATTTTTAAGGTCAAAGTATGCTCTGACATTCAGAATGGCTTGGTCTAGTTTGGATTTATTTGGGACACTCATGCATATCTATCATTATTATGAGCTTAGTCTGGGCGATCGAGCTAGTTTGAGAAAGGAGTGACATGTATATGCATAAATGTATGCTGCATACACATGTATGCATATATGAAGAAACTTTGTGTTTTGATATGAATGTAAACACCCTTTCTAGTTCCTGTCTGCTTGCCCATGTGCTTTAAAAACCTCCAGAATGAGGCGTTCCTTTTGAAACCACCATCTATTGAACTTTGTCTCTATTACTATCCATGCTTATAGATCCCAATATCTAATAGAAAGCATTTGCAAATACGTAAGTAGGTCCAATCCATTCTTAATCGGTAAAACAGGAGGCATGACTGTTAAGGTCGTCATCTGTAGCACTAATATATATAGTAAGTGTTGGTGCAGGTTTTTATTTTTTGTGGTTACCATCCTTTCCTAAACTTTTTTGTGGATACTTTTCCACTCACCGACTGGTTCCGGTGAAGAGCAGCCTACACTAGTTTTTTAAGTCGCAGGCTTTCACTTATTATTGAAGTTGCATCAAATCTCTAATGTAGCCGTATTTTCTACCAGTGTCATTAGAAGCCTTCTTATCTTTCACTCTCTGCAGATTTTTATTTATTTTTATGCTTGCAGCTGCCTCAACCAATTAGATCTGAGATCGATCTTAAGCTTGGTGGGACCCAGTGCAATCTTGTTGTAAACAGACTGAAGCCTTGGTTAAGTGTTGATTTATCAAAAAAGAAAGAAAGGGTTGTCCATGCTGATCAGGAAGAGTTTCAGAAAAACAAAAATGCGGCTATCATGTGGACATTTACTGTTTCTGCACCAGAGATGACTGTTGTGCTTTACAGTCTGAATGATGTACCACTCTATTATGTAAGTAATGTAGTTTTATTTCATATAAACCATCTTTATGTATTTCTATAATTAACGCTCACCACTAAAAAAGAATAAATAAATAAATAAGATAATAAAGAAATTGTAGGACCTTTTTTTAGAATTTATTTTTATTGTTTCATCTCGCAAAGTGATCAACCAGCTTTGCTGATTAGGTCTGCTTTGATAAAATGCTCCCCTTTAACTATTGAATCTTTAGATTCTCTTATTCTTATTACTATTTTAATCTTTCTCCTCAGCTCATCCTCTTCTCTTTTCTGTAAAATTATATCCTTATTCAACACTGGCATTAACGCCAACATTGGACAATATGTAGCAGTATTGGCTTTATGCCAGTGATTAATATGAAATGAATATAGAGAAAAGTAGAAGCATTAATTAAAATGGCATCATATGAGGTTTGCTATGAGCCTCACCTCAACGTTATTTTGAAAAAAATCACAAGGATGCTTACGTCTGAAAGGGTACTACGTGACACTCATACTTCACATAATCTAAGGCCAACCCCATCTCAATTTTAGTGAGACATGCATAATTTGATCTAGTTTTTTTCTTAAAATACATATTGAAGAATTTTGCGAAATTTATTTGGCTCAATAATAAATTACACCCTACTATATGTAATAGAGTGGCCTGCATACCTGTTTACGAAATAGAAAATTGGAAACCATTTAAATTAGAATTCCCAAGTTTGAAATTTAATTTATCATGGCTGATCATCAATAGTATTTTGTTGAGAATATCCACAATCTGAAGTGCTGTTGAAACATAACTTAGTTGAACTATTATGCTATTAACTGTTTTGAGATGAAGTGTCATTCAATCTCGATGTTTTTTGTTCTGCCATGGTGCACATGATTTTTGGCTATATAATAGTTGCCTGATTGTCATTGAACATCTTAATTTTATCCTTTTTCACAACCTTAAGTTTTCTTAATAGCATTTGAAGCCTCATTTCCTCACATATCTTTAGTACAAGAGCACAATATTCAGATTCTGCATTACTCTGAGAAGCAACATCTTAGTTTTTTGCTTCTTCAAGTGATGAGATTGCCCCAGATTATGAAAAGTGCTCGGCGTTTGATTTCCTATTAGTTATCTCTCTTGCTCAGCTAGCATCTGTGTATATCTCAATTTCATGATTTTTAGATCTTTTGAAGAACAAATCATATCCATGAGTCATTTTCAAGCTTCTCAAAATTAAGCTCACTGCTTCTAAATGATCCTTAGATTATTTATGTGTTGGCTCACTACACTAGTATGCAATGTCATGTCTTGTGTGTGATAGGTAGATTACTTTGCCCGCAAGTCTTTGATATATTCCTTTGCCAATTTGGTTACTTACTTTACTTATGTTTAGTTTTTTATTATAATTCATGGGTGTGCCAATAGATTTATACCCAAGCTTGTCAGTTTTACTTAACAAGTCTAAGATTTACTTTCTTCAGGATATGACAATTTCATCTTTAATCCGAGCCACTTCCATTCTGAGATAGTATCAGAGAGGCCTGAGATCATTAATCTCAAATTCTGTTGCAAATAATTTTTTTTGGTTTTATATTTTTTTTCTGAATCATTACCTGTCAAGCTAATATCATCTACTTCTACTATGAGAACAATAATTTTACCTATAGGATTGAATTTAATAAAGATTGTATATCATCCTGCATTGATGATATCAATTTGTAATCATGGTTTTAGCAAACCTGTCAAACCAAATAATTCGAGATTGCTTAATGCCATATTTGGACTTCTTCAACTTGCAAACCAACATATTGTTTGATGTATTTTTCAAGCTTGATTGTATAGTCCTGTTGACTTTTTCATCAAGGTCCCCATCCAAGAAAATACCTTTGATTTCATATTGGTATAAAGATCAATCTTGATTTACTGCAAGAGAGAGTAGAATCCAGACAATTTTAAGCTTGCCATTAGGCGCGAAGGTTTTTTGTTAGATAATCTCATGTGGCTGTGTGTGGCTCTTGACTATTAGTCTAGCTTTGAATCTCTCTACACTGTCATTTCCTTTGTGTTTGATTGTGATTATTCATTTGTTCTCTCCAAAATATTTTCCATGAGATAACTCTGTAAGTTTCCATGTGTTATTATTTTCTAGAGCCCAAATCTCTTAACTGTATGTTTTATGCTGGAACTTTTAGAGCCTTTTGGATAGAGTTGAGAACCTGCACACTATAAAAATTTGTCACAAAAAATTTATAAGATAACAACTTCTTATTAGCTACATATCTTTTGATTGGATGACCAATGCACCTTCAAACACCTTTCATTTGTGCAATTAATTGATTAGAGTCATTAATCAAGGGTACAAGAGAGTCATGAGATGGGGAATACATACCATTATGATTATCAGATGTAGGAGGGCTTGGTTCCGGTTCTTGGCAGTCTTGGGTTTACAAGATGTTCTCTACACGCTCAATAATTTTTCTTCTTGTATAGACGCAAGTCCTATTCATTGGTGTAAAGTTGAGGCGGAGTAGGGACAATTATGACTATTTCAGTGACAAAGTTTGATTCTTCAAGTGGAGTTGACTGAGTGATAGTATGTTCAACTGGTTGAGTGGTAGAATTTCACTCAGTTGAAGGCAAAATAGCCCGAGTCTCTTGAAGAAGGTCCGAAATTTGATATTCCTACGAGTTCTCTTGCTAAATTATGGATTTGGGAAAGTACGATTGATTCTCAAGTACTATGAAATCCTTAGAGTTGTATGATTTTGTAGTGATTAGAGAATGTCATTTGTATTCTTTTTGATTGAAGGAGTAACCCAAGAAGATGCATTTGAGAGATTTGAGATTAAGTTTGGTGCAATGTTCTTGGTGGATGCAAACAAATAGAAAACAAGTGAAAACCTTCTATATGAAGCCAAAAAAAAGAGAGCGGATATTTTGATTGGATTCCAAGAGAACATTAAAAGAAATTTGAAATTTTAGGACTCAAGTAGGCATCCTATTAATGAGATATGTGGGTGTAATTATGAATTTTTCTCAAAATTGTTTAGGCATATGATTATAGAACATAATGACATGGGCCACCTCAAGTAAGTGTCTATCATTTCTCTCATTGATCTTATTTTGTTGAGGAGCACCCATACAGAAACTTATATGAGTGATATTATGCTTGAAAAGAAAAGGACTAAGAATGAAATTGAAACATTCTTTAACATTATTTGTTTTAAGAATTTGAACTTCGCTTTGGATTTGAGTGAAGATCAAGAAATAAAAGGATTGAAATATGATGTTTCAGATTTTTATTTTAAAAGGAATGCCCACATTCTTCTTGTATGATCATCCATGAATGATACAAACCATTGTGCTGTTTTTTGTATGAGCGAGTCACATAAGCTATTCCATTTGTATTTTTACTTGTGGCGGACTCCATATATCACTGTGAATTATAGAAAAATAATGTGAACGCTTGTAATTGCAGTTTAGAGTATACATGTGTTATGCTTTGTAAGCTAGCAAGTTTTACATTGATATAGATTATAATTTTTAATGTTAAATAAATATGGAAATATCTTTTCAATATATAAAAAATTTTGATGAACAAACCGACAATGATTTAATATGTCTTGACTTTCAACTAGAACAGACTTAGAATTGAAAACTAGATTGACAAAATTTGAACTAGACCCAGAAATCAACTTGGCGGATGAACTTGTGTACCAATGATTTAACACGTCTCTCTGTTACCTGTTTACTTATCACCCACACAGAAGGCCCACAGGGTGTGTCCTAGAATTGGAGAAGAAACGCTTGCAGCTTATGTGGCATGGGAGTTCCAACAACAAATGGCTGCGCAATATTGCTTGGGAAAACGTTTGCCAGCCCAATATTAGGGCGGGCTTGGGTTCCGTGCCCCTTCTAATTCATGCCAGACTTGTGTGGGACTACATGACCAATAGAGGTTCGTTGCGACACAAATTTTTGGAAGGTAGATGTGGGGACGACTTGGAGCCCCTATGACCAAAGGAAAATATGTTGAGATTTTCATACCTTTTTTATACTGTTTTTAATGATATTGCACTTTAAAGAAAGATATTTTTGATGTTTTGTTGCAGGAATGATGAATTATGGTTAATGGAGCAAAAAGATGCAAAAAAGAGCGAATTTGGAGCAAAAAAGACCAAAATGTGGAGAATTGCGCTAGGGCGCCGACGGCGCCATCGAGGCCGCCGAAGGCGAGCTTTTCCCGAGACTACAAGACAAATTCTCCAGAAGACCGCCGACGACGCCATCGAGGCCGCCGACGGAGGGATCAACGGTTATGTGACATGTACAATGGATAACGCCGAATTTTGGAGTGCGTAAGCAACTCTTGGGAAAACTCATCCACATCTTTAAAGAGAACATTTTGGCCGAAAATAGTAAGCTTGATAGAGAGATTTTTGGAGTCCTGGAGGTTAGAAAGTATCCATTAGTGCGTGTATGCCTGGACCAAAGGGTAAAAGATAGGTATGCTCATATTTGACACAATATCAATTGAACTAATTTATTTTATCCATTCACTATAATTTCTTGGCAAGAAGAAGGATACTTTCTTATATATTGAATATCACAATTAAACGTTATTTTCTATAATTAGTTATTATCCAAATTATCTACTTCAATTGCCTATCAGTGACAGATAAACAACTTGAACATCGTTGTAGTTGAAGTATTACTTTTTATTAAATCTTAGTCCGTAGTATTCTATTTCTCCCTGTGGGATCGATATCTAGGACTCCATTAGAGCCCTATATTACTTGAGCGATACGTATACTTGCGTTGACAAATTCGACTTTAACATTATTGCATATTATATCTATACATCTTTATTAAATCAAACATATATATATAAAGTCGCAGTCAAGTTTTTGGCATTGTTGCTGGAATTTAATTCTTCTAGTAGCGTCATCAAATTCTTGTAATTGTTGATTTACAAAAAAAGGTCGGTCACCCTACACCACCAAACTGTCTTA